AGGTTAAACATAATTATAAAGCAATTAAATACAAAAAACAATTTAAAGTTAATGCAAAAAATTTGGACAAAAAAGTTTGTAGACATAGTTATTAAAACTAATTTAATTGTTTTAAATAATAGTTTAATTAATCATTTAATTAATATCAAAACCTACTAAATGAATGCCAGTAAAAGTGTAACATTTATTGTACTACTGGTTGTATTAGCCCTTCTATCCCATACAGAGTCGGCCAGTAGTCAGACGGTTGAGCTCCGGAGGTCTAAACGTAGCTTTGGTTGTAATTAAATGTTTAGCCGTAAAACAGATAGATATAAGTGCAATCAACGTTTGCATAAATAACCATGGTTTATTAATAATTACTAATTATTTTTAAAATATCAAAATCATTTATTATTCGTAATATTTGTCAATTGAAATGCTTAAACAATTTTTTCGGTACAAATATTTTGAGATCAAGTGTTACACAATTTTAATGGACACCAGTTTAGGACTTTTCGCCAAAAACTTCTGAACAGTATTATCACTGAAAGTCGTCTTACGGCGCCTTTTAATGACAAACTTTTGCAGCGCCGGTAGTCTTGAGATGTGATCCAAACACTCGGTGTCTATAATGCTATTCATGTCATCAATGTATAGATATTGAAGTTGTGAACAGTATTGATGCAAATCTGTCAACACATTTGGTGTCATTCGCTTTAAATGCAGCTCTAAATGCGTTAATGTCTTGCAGTGAGTGAGCGGTTCCAACAGGTGGTCATCGATGTCCGCATCGGTCTGTAAACGGAAGCGTTTCATTTGCCGAAAGACACGCAACGAATCCAACGTAAACAGGGGTTCGTTAGGCATTGACGACCACTCGAGTGACAATCGTTGCAATTGTTTGCAATTCGCGGCAATTTTACGCAAAAACACGTTCAGTACTGAAATATTGTTGCCGTCCGTTAACCGCAACGTCAGTCCGAGTGTCAGTTCCCGTAATTGCGTTAACCGTGACAATTGTCCGCACATTTCGCGCACCGATTGTTTAGAAACAAAGTGACAACTCTTTACGGCCAGACTCTGGAGCGACTGATTCGCGGCCACGAATGCCGGCCAGCGATGGTTATAGTGTTGTGAATGCGATAATAACACAAAGTTACGCAAATTCTTGGCCAACAATTTGCCGTTTGATTTGTCAAAGACTTTGTCAATAGAGTCGACCCTCAAGTGTGACAATCGGTAGAACAGAGTCAGCCATTGTCTGTCTGGCAGAGCCCTAACGTTACCACCGATTCGTGTGATGAGTGGCGCCAATGATCGCATACTTTGGTCATTATTTTCCCACAAATCGCAGTATATTTCCCCCAAATGTCGGCAATAGTCACGAAATAAGTACAACATTTCGGGAATACGACTCTCGTATTCAGTGTCTATTCTTCGACAGTCAATGGTCTCAATCTTCGGACACTTTATGGCAATTGTGGCCAACATTTGAACGTCACTTCTCTTCGCATTCAATAATCTCCATATGAATCGCACGTTAAGAGTGATGTCCACAACACTCCCGAAGACAGTCCTCTGGAACTGTTTGGACACACATTCGTAACGGAATCGGTCTTCGAGTGAGAGATAAGAAACTATAAGTGCACACAAATCATCACCGAATCTGTCCATTGAGTTCTTCGCGTAAATCATTGGCTAAAATGTAAAACAAAATCAATTAAAACTCAATAAATAGTCAATAATTTGTGAAATACGTGTTGAATGTAGTCTTCATTGCCGTCATCTGTGGTCTCGAGTGATGTCTTATTGCGTTTCATCTGTTGTGCCATATCTTGGGATCAAATGAAGTGATTGTTTGAATGAATTGTATTTCTGTCGCAAAACATGTGCTAATATTTACATTGACTGTGACTTCAAAGCCAACACAGATTGACAACAAGACTGACATCTATTGACACATATTTTCACTACTTTTTACAATACTTTTAATAAGTTTTTAATTAGATTTTAAATAATTATATTTATTTCAAATTAAAATGCTTTTAAAAACAGATTTTTTAATCAAAATTATAATTAATAAACTCGCGACAAAAATAGTGAATTAAATCAATTTTATAACACAATTAAATAATTAGAAAACAACGAAAAACTTTATTTTTATCAATAGATTAAGTATTAATAATTGCATTAATCGTCACTTTAATTGTGATTAATATTTATTTTCGCGAAATTTAATTATTTGTAACAAATATTAAACATTTAAAGCATTTTTGCGGTAAAAGTATTTCGGGATTCGTTTTTCAATGACTTGAATGCACTTTAGTTTAAAACTTTTAGACAACAAATCCCAGAAATCATTGTCCGAGAAATCATAAGATTCCCATTCCTCGAAGTCTATGACAAGCATTTGCAGCGCCGGTAGTCTTGAGATGTGAGACAAACACTCGGTGTTGTTATGAAAGTTACTAATTAATAGATACTGAAGTCGCGGACACTTTATATGCAAATCTTTTAACACATTTGCTGTCATTCGCGGCAAATCCAGCCCTAAATGCGTTAATCTCTTGCAGTCACTCAACGGATCCAACAACTGGTCATCGATGGCCGCAAACGCTGATAAATGTAATCGTTTTAGTCGGCGATAAACTCTTAACGAATTCAATGAGATATTAGTAGAAGATTGCAATCGGAGTGACAATCGTTGCAATTGTTTGCAATTCACACCAATTGTGCGCAAAGACTGGTTCACGACTGCGGACTTTTGATCGTCCAGTTCTCCAAACACTAACCCGAGACTCAATTCCCGTAATTGTGTTAATCGTGACAATTGTCCGCACATTTCGGTCATAAATATAGTATTTTCAAAATAACACGACTTTAAGACCAAACACTGGAGCGACTGATTGTGTGCCACGAATGCAGACCAGAAGTGGTTAAAAGGGTCGGAATGAAAGTTCAACACAAGTTTATGCAAATTATTGCCAAACAGTGTATCGTTCGTAAAGTCTGTGATGTTGTGAAATGAATGGACACTTAATTGTGACAATCGGTGACAATGAGTGAGCGCTTCACTGTCTGTATATGAGTTAATAATAATATTACCGATTCGTGTGACCAGTGGTCCCAACGATGGCATTGTTTGTGTAGTATTTGACGTCAAATCACAATATATTTCCCTTAAATGCCGGCAATTGTCTCGAAATGTGTTCAACACTTCCGGAATGTGTTCTTCATATTTAGCGCTTATTCTTCGGCAGTCAATGCACTCAATGTTTACACACTTTATGGCAATTGTGGCCAACATTTGAACGTAACTTCTTTTCGCATTCATTAATCTCTGTATAAATTCATCGCTAAGAGTGATGTCCACAACACTCACGAAGACTGTCCTCTGGAACTGTTTGGACACACATTCGCAACGGAATCGGTCTTCGAGTGAGAGATAAGTCAACAATACTTCATACAAATCATCACCAAATCTGTCCAAAGAGTTCTTCGCGTAAATCTTTGGTTAAAATGTGAAACAAAAACAATGAAAACTCAATAAATAATTAAATGTTTATTAAATACCTGTTTATTGTCTTCATCTTCGCAGTCATCTGTGGTCTCGAGTGATGTCTTCAAGTGTTTCACTTCTTGTGCCATATCTTGGGATCAAATGAAGTGATTGTTTGAATGAATTGTATTTCTGTCGCAAAACATGTGATAATATTTGCATTGAATTCAAAGCCAACACAAAGTGTTGACAACGAGTGAGACATCTATTTGTCTCGTATGCATATTTTCAGTGCATTTTATAACACTTAAGTTTTTAATTATTTTAAATAATTATATTTATTTCAAATTACGGTAAAACATTTTTTAAAACAGATTTTTGTATCAAAATTATAATTATTAAATTCTCGATAAAAATAGTTTAATTGCGATAAATATTACATTTTTATTTCGATCACATAATTGGTACAAAATAGGCATTAAATACAAGACATGTTTGAAATGAACAGAAAATTCAAACATTATTTAATAAATTTAATAATAATTAATTACTTTAATAATAAAACACTAATTATTTCCACATTTTTTACTTATAATAAAACTTCTTCTCATTGTTTACACGGATTTCAATTGTCTTGAGTTTAGGACTCGAAGACAACACAGCATTCATATCCGAGAGATTAATGTCTTGACGGCATTGAATGACAAGCATTTGCAGCGCCGGTAGTCTTGAGATGTGAGACAAATACTCGGTGTCTATAATGTTATAGAATTCACAAACGAATAGGTATTGAAGTCGCGGACACTTTAAATGCAAATCTTTCAACACATTTGCTGTCATTTCTCTTATATAGAGCTCTAAATGCGTTAAACTCTTGCAGTGTCGCAACGGTTTTAACAACTGGTCATCGATGGCCGCATAGATCTCTAAACGCAACCATTTTAATCGGCTGTAAAACCTTAACCAATCCACTGATTGAATCAATGCCTGCCAAACGTGTACTCCAGACAACTTGAGTGACAATCGTTGCAATTGTTTGCAATTCACGCCAATTGTGCGCAACGAGTCGTGCACTGAGATGTGAGGGCTCGCTATCAACAAACCGAGACTCAATCGCCGTAATTGTGTTAATCGTGACAATTGGGCGCACATTTCGGGCAACGATTCGTGCGATGAAACACAATAACACATTACTTTCACACTCTGGAGGCACTGATTCGCGGCCACAATCGTCGCCAATCGGTGTCCATCGGATTCTTCATAAAATTTCAACTCTAATTGACGCACATTTTTGACAATCAGTTGATCCGATTGGTTAAAGTCGAAGGCGTGCTGTAAATAACTCATTCGGCCACAATCGTCGCCAATCGGTGTCCATCGGATTCTTCATAAAATTTCAACTCTAATTGACGCACATTTTTGACAATCAGTTGATCCGATTGGTTAAAGTCGAAGGCGTGCTGTAAATAACTCATCCCTAAGTGTGACAATCGGTGACAATGAGTGAGCGCTCGCGTCTCTGTTGGGAATAAGTGCCCGATTCGTGTGACCAGTGGTCCCAATGCGGCCATTGATGGCCTATTCATTGGATATAAGTTGCGGTAAATTTCCCTCAAATGCCGGCAATTGTCTCGAAATGTGTTCAACACTTCCGGAATGTGTTCTTCAAATTCCGTGTCTATTCCTCGGCAGTCAATGGTCTGAATGTTTGGACACTTTATGGCAATTGTGGCCAACAATTGCGAGTCAATTGTCTTCTCCTTCCGTAATCTCTTAATAATTCTGTCGTTAAGAGTAATGTCGACAACACTCCTGAAGACTGTCCTCTGGAACTGTTTGGACACACATTCGCATTGAAATCGGTCTTCGATTGAGAAATAGGATAAAATGAGTCCATACATGTCATCACCGAATCTGTCCATTGAGTTCTTCGAGTATATCTGTAACTAAAATGTGAGACAAAAACAATTAAAACTCAATAAATAGTTAAATGTTTATTAAATACCTGTTTATTGTCTTCATTGCCGTCATCTGTGGTCTCGAGTGATGTCTTCTTGTATTTCATCTGTTGTGCCATATCTTGGGATCAAATGAAGTGATTGTTTGAATGAATAGTATTTTTGTTATGAATTGTAAACAAATGCAAAATTACATAACATTTGCGCTGAAAATGCGTTCAAAACGTATCGAAGTTTTAATACCATTAATATTAACACAATTTCTATGAATACTATATATAATATTGATATCGATTGGGACTAAAACTACGTCTATATAGCCATACATAACACACCACTCAATACAGGCATACATTACGTTAAGTATATCTTTTTGTGACAACTTTTTGCCCACACTTTCAATGAGTGTTTAATTGTATTTAAATACTTAACAATCAATTAATGTATGTTTTGATCACAATTTTCAAAATGAAATTCTTGTCCACAAAATATTTTATTTTACATAAAATTTAAAATATTTTTATTTTACATTAAAATACAATTAAATTTACTTTTGAGAGACTGATTGTGTGCCACAAATGCGGACAACAGTTCCTTATTATCACTCGAATAGTAATTAATTTACATTTATGTAAATTCTTGGCCTATAGTCGGCCGGAAGTGCTGTCAAAGACGCAGTGAAAAAAATTGATCCAAAATCCTGATAATCAGTGGCAATGATTGAGTGGTTGGCTATCATTAAAGTCAACACAATTGCTGTTCACCCGAACGGACGGATCCAATGATCACTGTTTTCACATACATTGCAGTAAATTTGCCGCAAATATCTATTATAGTGTTGAAGTGTTTGCTTAGAATATGATATTCTTCGGGAATTCAATTCTAGTTTTAATAAAATTACATTTATTTCAAATACAAATATTAAAGTGACACAAAATTTGTGGCAATTTTGCGGTAATAAAACTTTATGCGATTATTTACATGCATTTCAATGCACTTTAGTTTCGGACTTTTGTCAATTAAATCATAGAAATCATTGTCTTTTATATCAGTGTTTTGACGAATAAAAATGACGAGAGTTTGCAGCGCCGGTAGTCTTGAGAGGTGTGACAAACACTCGGTGTCTATAATGTTATCCACGAAATTAAAGTCATGAATGTATAGGTATTGAAGTCGCGGACACTTTATATGCAAATCTTTCAACACATTTGCTGTCATTTCGCTTATATAGAGCTTTAAATGCGTTAATCTCTTGCAGTGTCGCAACGGTTCCAACAGTTTCTCATCGACGGCCGCATCTAATACTAAATCCAATTGTCTTAATCGGGAATAATATCGCAATGAATCCAATGCTTCAACATTACTAACGTGTGTCCCGGTGTCCAACTCGAGTGACAATCGTTTCAATTGTTTGCAATTCACGCCAATTGTGCGCAAAAAGTCTCTAAATATTAATGTGTGAACTTTCATTAAACTTAACTCGAGTTTCAATTCCCGTAATTGTGTTAATCGTGATAATTGTCCGCACATTTGGTCAAAATGTTTTCAATATCTTCGACAAAAATAACATATATTTCAAGACATTTGAGGGACTGATTGTGTGCCACGAATGCAGACAATAGCTCGTTGTCGTCGTCTGAATAGAAACTACACTCAAATTTATGCAAATTTTTAGCCAACAGTTGTTTAGATGTGATGTCGAAGACGTCCGGAAAGTCATCGCAAACTAATGTAAGAGACAATCAGTGGTCAGACATATATATTGAGTGTTTATTACGTTTACAAAAATACTACCGATTCGTGTGACCAGTGGTGCGAACTGTTGATACAATTGTGCCGTATTTTTGTCAAAACTGTAGTATATTTGACGCAAATTAAGACAATTGTATCGAAATAATCGCAACACTTCTGGAGTGTGTTCTTCGCATTCAATGAACATTCCTCTGAAGTCAATGGTTTGAATGTTTGGACACTTTTTGGCCAACATTTCAATAATAGCTGTGAAACAGGTCTGGGATTTATCATCGAATTGATCGGTGATATTAATGAATACAACACTACTGAAGACTTTCCTCTGGAACTGTTTGGACACACATTCGCAGCGAAACCGATCTTCGAGTGATAGATAGGATAATATGAGTCCACACATGTCATCACCGAATCTGTCCATTGAGTTCTTCGCGTAAATATTTGGCTAAATATTTAAAAACAAAACAAAAACACAATTAATACTCAATAAACGCCAAATTGTTATGAAATACCTGTCGATTGCCGTCATCTATGGTCTCGAGTGATGTCATCATTTGTGTCGCCTCTCATACAATATCTTGGGATCAATTGAAGTGATTGTATGAATGAATTGTTTGTTATTCACTGCAAAACATGTGATAATATTTACATTCATTCAAAGCCAACACAAAGTGTTGACAACGAGTGAGACATCTATTGACGGTAGGATATCGTTATCCTGGGCAGCACTCTTAACCATTACTATATGTAAGCATAGAGATTAACCAGAGATTAATGTCGAATATCTCGAATACCATTAGTTCGATTGTAAATCTATTTCGATAGTCATTACCAGTATATACATGGCAAAAAATAATCCCATTAGCCCAGTTACCCCCGCCCACTTTTTCTACCCACCCCCACACAAAAATTTATCCATTTAATTGTGTGACCTATCAATTTAATGTACAAT